TACACTACCAGAAGCCTACAGATCGCCCCGTAGGCCGACACCGTATTCGTGGCGATCATCTCGTCTCTCACCGTCTCCGGAACCGCCTGGATGATGAGCGAAGCTGCCCGCCTTTCCAACCGACTCCATTTCCGTACCCCCAACACCTCAGGCGTCTTGGGCACCATGTTGACCCTGTTCAGCGGGATCTCCTTCATGTACTCCTCGTACCACTCGCGGGCCTCCTTTAAGAGTAGGTCCCACCATTCCATCGAGCTGTCACTCAGGTCCGACATCAGGGGATGGATGATGGTGAACCAGTCCCCTAGTTCTATCGGACCATTCTCCGGGCTAAACTCGCCCAGGCGAGGCAAGTCCGCGAAGCCCGCCTTGACCGTCTCGATGGTCTCCGTCTTCTCCTTCTGCTCCAGGAGCTGCTTCTGCATCATCTGCATGCCCTCCATGAGCTTCAGCATTACGTCCATTTGGTGGCCGTCCTTTCCGGATCCAGCCACATCACTTGCCCTTTCCGAGGCACCGCCATCCTGCTCATCCCGAGCATTTCCTTTTTCACCACCAGCCCCAAGTCCGCCTTCTCCGCCCTTGCCATTCGAGTGGTCGCGGGTCGGGCCGTAGGGCTCGTGGTTCTGATTGTCCCTGACCGTGCTCATGCCGTTCACCTTTTCCCGGCTCTCCGGCGTGCCGTAGTCAGCGTCTGTCTCCTTTCCTTGTTTCTTCAACATTTCCACCTCATGCTGAAGCCTCTGATTCCGCGTCATCAGCTCCTGCATCATCTGCATGAGGTAGACCGGGCCCACTCCCGGTGCCGATGGTGTCATCCTCGTATCCTGAGACGCCGCCATCATCTTCATCATCTGGCCCTCCGGCTCCGGATTCTCCATGGGTAGGTACCTCGGTCGAAGTTGGCCACCACCCGGAGTGTCTCCCTCCAGGTTACTCTCCACGGGCAAGTGCGCCGGCCTCGGTTGGTCCATCCGCGGTCCCCTCAGCAACGGTGCTTTCTCGTCCCACTTGTTGAACTCTCTGAGCTGCTCCGGGGTGAACAGAGGCTTCATGGCTTCTGGCTCTCCTTCCGGTCCATTTGGCCACCTGCGTGGAGGCTCCTCGAGTTCCTCCTCGCCCTGGCCTGGCTTGAGTGGTGTTGCCGTGAGCTCAAGCGGCTTCACCACCTCCACCATCCTCCTCGGAGGCCTTCTGCCTCCAGCATAGGGCACCATTTCCTGCCCTATGATCTCCAGGCTCTCCACCTCCGGTTCTTCTCCATCGGCAGAATCGAGCCTTTCTCGAGGTTCTGCACTTCCTGATGCCCTTGTCGGTTCCATTGCCGAGCGAGGGCCCCTGTTTTAGGGGTTTGGGCTCATAACCTGTGGTGCCGCTATTCAGAAGCGGTCTTTTCCTCGACACAAAAACGGCTCCATTGTGCATGGTTTGATTGCCTATACATGAACCCCTCTAGTTCACAATAGTATTTCACCAGCCTGAAATAAGGTGGCTTGGGCACATAAACCACCATTTGGGTGAGGTCGTGTGAGGTCGTTATAACTCACCCAGCAAAAATGATATGTTTTTTTTGCCTGGTAGTGGCAAACAGAGGGAACCCCCCCAAAAAAAAAGAAACAAAAACAAGGGAAACTCATTCCGGGGAAGTGGCCTGAAGGTCGAAAGAAAGATCTAGGACCATTTCTTGCGGGGGTTGATTCCATGTTCAGCTACAAAAAGCCAACAAAAACCAAACCATAAGTTGTCATTCTTGTTCCCACTGTCATTGTTGTTGGGGTATTCAGAATGCCACTGAGCCAAAGGGGACCCCTTGTTTAATGGGTTTGAAATGCAAACCAAGACACTGACTTCCTGAATGGATTGGAGAGAAAAAGTCCAAACTTTCGGTTCAACACTAAAATGATCTTCCAAAAAAGATTTTAGTCCAGAAACTCAGGGAGTGAGGATGAGGGGGGGCCCCTCTGTTCAGAAATCCCCAAGCTTGAGTAGCTCGAACAAGAAAGTCGCATGGGTGCCTGGTGTTCCTCTACCCATGCACGCTTTGCACGTTGGTGGCTTGGTTCCTCAACATGCGGCCCGAAGGCCTTCTGAGAAAGCCAGGCAAGGGCAGCAGGGTTCTTCCCGGGGGTGGAGGGTGGAATGAGGAGAGTCGAACACTCACACCCCGATGCTCGTAGGTTCCAACGGGCGCATGCGCAAGACGCCATTCATTTGGCCAGGCTGCCCCTTTTCTGGCAGATGTCAAGCCGGCGCCTTGTCAACGTACCCATCCTCAAAACCAAAACATGTACCTCGACATTGGTGAAGCTTTACTGGGCTGAGACCGTTCCCTGCCTGGTACAAGGTGATTGGGGTGTGACTCAAAAATAGCGAGCTAGGGCTACGCAGGCGATAGTCGGTTCCAGTTACCAATTTACCAAGCTGCCATTCTGGTACATGTGTTTGAGCCACACAGCCATTAGAATGCGGTGCTCTACAATTCTACAGCACACTTGAGCCACAGGATCAAGATGTGAGCCACGACCATGTGAGTCACAATCAAAACCCGGTACAAGAATGGTCGTGTAAAGAACTAAGAAGGCGGATATCAGCTATGTATGCCTGGATCGTCCCTTACTAAGCTTCACTTACCCGAATCGGTTTTGACTGTGGCTCATGCCGTGCCAAGTTGCAGAAGAACGTCGGCATCTTCAGGCCCGCCAACCCTCTCGAAGTGAAGAGGCGCCTCCCGAAGACCTGCAAGCCACAGCCCAAAGGGAGTTCCCCGGTGAAAAACGCTGCACCATGAGTGAAACTCTCCTCCCGGGGTAACTGGCCAAACCAATCCCATTTTTGTTTACCACTAAAATGGTCTTCCAAAAGTATGAAGTCCATGAACTCAGGAAGCGAGGACAGTGGATGGCAGAATTCCCTTGTACCAAGGCTGATGTCCAAGACGCAAAAATCGCCCAGTGACCCAGGCACAAGGCAAAAGAAGGCTCTACATGTCCTTTCCCGCAGGCCGAACCCCAAAAGGAAGGTCTTCCAAAACCCTCTGATCGTCAGCTTCCGTGATTCTTGGAGGGAGTGTGTAGTCTAAAAGTGTGCCCTGCCACTATACATGAACAGGCCCCTGTCTGCGAAAGGAAAGCAGTCGTCCAAAAGGGGTCTCTGCACTGCCGCGTTTGCTCACAGCGTATCTCTCACACAAGGCCCGGCAGACAATTCAATGGGCGGCAGGAAAGGCCATGACAGCGGGGGCATTTTTCCACAAACCCAATTTAACCAAAGGGGATTGGGAAGGCGGCGTCTAAGCCAACGAAAAGGGCATACGGATTTACTCAGTTGCCCAAAGGACCCAGAACTCAAAGGTTAACCTTTTGGCACCTCTACTAAAAATGGACCAAAATGGGAAAACCAAAAGGTCAAAAGGTCGGCTTTGGACAACTGAGTTTATAGTCGCTTGGCACCTACCCGAGCTCCCGCAGTCGCCGGCGTCGCCGGCGTCGCCGCGCGTCTCGTCGCCTTGGACCTGGTCACCTGGGCTTCACGAGTCACGTGGGAGATGCGTCACACTGGGGGACCCACACCCCAAAAATCATGGCGGCTTTCCTGGTGGCGAGTCCCACCAAAAAAACCAACCGGAAGATGGTAATTACTCTCCCGGTTTTGTTCTTCCCTTTAGAACAACCTGAACAAATGACAGTCTCAAACTTGCCACACGCCCACATATCAAGGCCGCTTTCCAGCTCCAGTTTTGGCCACGTTGGGGTGCCTCTGGTTTTCGGCCGTGCCGGGGTCCCTCTATTTCCACTAAAACCATCTTAAACCACTGTCAAAAGAGTTAGGTTGTCCCACGTGTCGGTGCGGGCCCTGTGTGCAACCCGTTCTCAGATCACCTTCCGATATGTTTAGAAGACCTGACTGCGCCTGGGAAGTCTTACAACTGGGCTCTTCTTTTCTTTCGCGGGATCCGAGAGGCAACGGAATGGAGATGAAAGGTGGGCCTTTTGAGATCCCTCACAAACGAGTAATGCAAAAAAAGAGGGCAACAGAAAACAAATTCCATGTTGGATCCCCATTTGGAACACCCCTTTGGCAGTTGCAAAACCAAGGGCTGCGCCAACCAAGAAAACACCATTCCTCAAACCCTTCCGCCAAAAGAGGTTGGGCCACATCTCCCTTGCCTCACCTCATCTCCGGCCTGGTATGCCAGCAGCCCCGCTGTCGCCGCTGCTGCGGGCGCCAGCCACGTGCCACGCCGGTCGCCAGCGCTCGAAGCGCCCACAGCGAACCGAGGCGCGGCTGGCGCCGCGAGCGGGGCCCAAGAGCCCACGGGGCCCACGAAGCCCGCCATGGCGAAGGAAGCTTTGGGCCGTTCCGCGCCATTCACATCAGGCTGCTTGGCCAATGACTTACCCCTTCAAACTCCAAGCCCTGGGGAAGTTCTCATCTCTTACAAACACTTTTCGCCCATGTTACCCCCAAAAGTTACGAAAAGTTGCATGTGCTTAAGAGGTAAGATGAGGAAACCACAGGCTCTGGGAGGTCCACTGAAAAAAATCGAAGAAAGACTCAAGGCTGGCCTTCTCAGGTCTCCAATGAAATGGCATCATTTGAGGTCTGTCAACGCCCTTGCAACGAAAAAAATGCAAATCATACAAACAATCGGAATGTTACTGAGGTGAACCAATGAACTGCCGCACAAGCAGCGGGACAAACACCAGTGCCCACAAAAACTAGTGGAGTTCCGCACGGGTTTCCCGCATGCTTATGGCTCCAGTAGATATATATATATATATATCATGCCCAAGGTTTGCCTTTTGGGACCTTTAGTGAACATATGCAAGCCTGGGAAACCACAAGCTAAGGGCAAGTGAGTCTAGGTGTCCCTAGGTTAAAGCAAATGGGCTTTTCTGGTAAATGGTTTATAAAACCCATCTACACCAGTGGACCCCATCCAAATCTATCCAAACTAGAACCCAACAAAACCTCACCTGTCTTTCTCCTCGACTTCCCACCTGCACCAGGCCGATGTAGCCTCGGATGTTCGTCGGCCTTGACCTGACGCGGTCACGCAAAAGAACACCTGCGTCTAAAACGCGTGTCTACAAACATGTTTTTAAAACTTTTACCCGCATGGCTAGCGTTTGCACCTGCGGCGGCATGCATCTACACATACATATGCACTCATAAACATGTAGAACGACAATGTGTGTGTGTGTGCGCGCGTGCGCGTGCGCGCATGAAAACATGTTTGTTGGTCTGATACGGCTTGGGTATGCGGCCCACTTGGAGACCTCTCTCTCTCAGGCCGCCCGAGGTGAAAACCATCTCGCCGCGGACGAGTTACTCAAGTTACTGCCGCGCCTGGCCAAAGAAAACAAATGGAATCCCGACTTCGGTGAAAATGGAGGTTATCTTCCAAAAATCGTTGGGCTTTTTGACCCCATGTGTAGGGAGCACCATCTTTCCGGCAGGAATTATGGAAGTGCTAACGTAATTAAACAATTTCTTCGTGCACCTCTTCTTTCTCGATTGCTTTCTGCTCCCCTGCTAAAAGTTTAACTTTTAGTGGTTTAGTGGAAAACCCAGTGGTTGGCAAAAAGTTAAAGTCCTAACAGCCAAGCAAATTGCACCAAAGACAAGAGGGTTGCGCAAAAAACATCATCTCCAGGCCCCATATCCCACTTCCACCTCTCACCAAATGCCCCAAAGCCTACTTGGCGCTTTGGTCTTTCACAGGAACTGGGGTTCAACCCGAGCCATCCATCCAAGCCTCCCAAACCTAGCGGGTGTGCTTGTGTTTAGGGCCACCCTAAAAGGAAAAAGTGGTTTTCCTTTTGGTTTCCGTTTGCAACCCCCCCTACAACGGGTTGCACCCTCAACAAAAAGGAAATAGCCTCCAGTAGAGAGGTTAGAATAAGGGTACCCTTTTTTCCGTAGTCTATTTTAATAGGGGAACCCTCCCAGCCAAAAAGGGGTTAAAAAGGGCACCTTGCTGGGGGACCTAGGCTTTCAACCATCGTTCTTTTGAAAAACCGAACGCCGTTTTCCCTGGGTTTCCGGAGGTTTTCTACAAAGATTCGGATCCCAAAACAAGAATGGACATGGAAGCTATCCCTAGAGCCAAGCCCCCCGACTCACTCTCGCGATCCGTCCAAAAGACTTGGTTGCTGTTGACCGGGTGTGGTGGAAAACCCAACTCGATTTACCAACAAGTTTTCAAGTCTAAAGGTCCGTTGCCCAAGACCAGTCAAGCTCTTAAGTGTCACCTGGCCATGAGGCAAAATCCAAACCGTACCCCCAGTGAACATCCGATTCAATCCCCACTAAAATGGGTCAAGAAAACCCCCAACTCTCAAGGCACTGGCCTCAGCTCCCAGGTCTTCTTGCGCGACAGGATCTTGCCCTCGGATCCAAAGCAAAGGATCTCGCCACGTGGCGGGCCCGGCCGGGGGGAAGCGGCGGCGAGAGAGAGAGAGAGAGATATACATCTATATATATATATACGTAGATGTATATATATATATATACGGAGATATATGTGTGTATGTATATATGTATATATGCAAAAAGGCGTCAGTGTGCGCGTTTTGTGGGAAAGGGGTTGAATGAAAGGGAAGCCAAAAGGAAAAGCTCTCTCTCTCTCTCTTTCTTTTGTTTTTTTTTTTGGGGGGGGGGGTCCCCCTCTATTTTCACATGCCCATCACCAATATGGAACAACACACAGGAAGCACATGCATACCCACTGCAAACTTGCGGATGTTCAGAAACTTTCGAGGCAGGAGCTCGTGTGTCAGTTCAGACTGCTTTGGCCCAGAAACCGAATGATGAAGACAACATCAAATAAGTCAAACATCCATGAAGGAACGAACAAGGCCAACGCGAGTTGTACCATATGCCATTTCCGGGGATCCTCTTTTCCAGAAGCTGAAAAACTAAAGGATGTGGGGCTTGGTTCTTCACGCGCCCAAGCTTTAGCGCCCAACTTGAGCGTTTCGGTGACTCGAAAACTTTCACACACCCACATTGGTGTGCCTTTTTGAGGCTCGGTACCCTTTATTGGATGCTTTGAAGGGATACCAAAAGGAAGACCATCATTTTTCTGTTTGGAGGGGTCTTCAAAAAAGAACACACCCACAGAAACAAAGGGACACACTGGTGTTGGGCAAATTCGGAGAGGGGGGCAGGAGTTCCAAGCAAAGCAATCGTGACTTTTCAGCCCTCACTTCGACATATACCCAGGTGAGTCCTGATGAGGCAAAGCCAAGTTCAGCTGGTCTTGCGCTAGCAGATGCTGAGATCGCAGCTATCCACCTTGGCCGGCCGGTGAAGGTTCACCCTGTGTGAAAGCAAGAGGTTCTTTCCTGGCTCCCCATCTGGGGAAATTACGAATGCTGAATAAGGCATTGGCAAATTGAAGCTGACGTTTGTGATTCCCTCCCTCGCGTGACTTGGCCTTGTCGCTTTGCTCACGCTTGTTGACGGCTTTTGCCTCGCGTTTCCTTTTGCAGCGCGTTCGACCAAAGACCTACGGGAAATGCCTCCCATCTCTTTTGTGGATCTGAGCTTGCCTGAGCAAAACCGACAAAGGATGGACAAAGATGGCATGAGGCAACCGCTGAACGCTTCATAAGTGGGGAGATGTCAAAACGAGTGACCCTATCTTTGTCCATCAAAAAAACATGGGCGAATCAAATGTGCCTAGTTTTGACATACTAGACTGGCAACTTCGACTTTTTCAACCAGCGAGGACCTAGATGCCAGGAAACCCTCTCTTAAAGGCACCCCTTCTCGGAGACCCCCCTCCTTTCGGTTGAAGGTTGGCGGACACATCTTCCCAACTGAATCCTACCCAATCAAAGGGTCCCAAAGTAAAAATCATACCCAAATGATGGACCCCCTTGGTGTCCTTTTGGTAAAAAAATGGCACTGGTAAATGATTAGAACCAACATGCAACGAGTGCCAATTTCAACCAAACTGAAATACAAAGGCCCCGGACAAACGAATCCGGGTCTCTGAGCACGTGCGCGACTTTTAGGGAGTTTGGGGGAGGCCAAGAATCAAAAGAACAGCAACAATTTAACAATTTGTGCGATGGGATGCACTGCAACAGCGCCACTCATGCGCTGCACTACTGGGCACTGACGTCGCCGCTGTAAACTGGTGATGGCCTAATTAAGCTAAACTACTTAGCTGCATGGGTCCCAGTGAACATTGACATTGCTATTATATTGTTTTTCCATTATCAACAACAACAAATATAACACCGGAAAAAAAAGAACAAAAAGGGAGAAAAAAAAACGGGGGGGGGGGGGGAACGGCCACCTCTGATAAGGACATCGCTGGGAGAGGAACTTTCGCACGGGCCGCCGCGACGAAACTGGGGGCCCCGGGCGGCTGACGGATCTTCAAGCCCAGCTGGGGGGTGGACTGCCGGATCCGTGGCTTCGGATGTGAGTTCTCAGATTCGGCTTACCTGTGTATATATATATATATATATATATATATTAGGGGGGGTTGGTTGGGTTTACCTTGGGCTTCCCTTTGAATGTCCCGTTTCTTAACCAACCACAAAAACTAGGTCCTCCAATAGAGAGGTCAGAATACGGGTACCCGATTTTTTTCTGTAGTCGATTTTAGTAGGGGAACCCTCCCCCAAAAAAAAGGTAGAAGGGTACTACTGGGGGACCTTGCCAAAGGCCAGGCAACCTGCTTATGGTGCCATGGTTAAACAAAGGAATTTCTGTCGGCAGGCAAGGTGTGCGGACGTGACTTGAGCGGACCCACTATAGACGCTCCTGAGGCATGTGAGCCTTGGGACGTCCCAGCATCATCTGAACCAAGGACTGTTCAAAGAGTGTCACCAGCCCCATGGCCCTTGTGGCCTCTTCTGGCTGATATGCTAAACGGGAGATCTAGTTCACCTTTTTTTCCAGACTCCTATTTTACACCATTGGAGGTTGACCCCATATGGTCCAGAATGTAAACACACCTTTTAGGCACACAACCCCAAAGGACATGCATTTGGCTAAGGATGTGCCAAACATCTAAAGTGGCAATGCCGGGTGACATTGGCAGCTTCGAACTGGAAACTGGGTTTCTTCGAGGCTACTCTTTCGCGGTTGGTGAACACGAAACAACTCTCAAACGGTTTGGATACAGGAAACTCCAGAGGAAATGGCCAAAACACCCTAAAGAAGCTGGTTGCCCAGACCCAAAGCGGCAGCTGCAAAAATTGGAAAGCTGCCGTTACGCGCAAGTCAGCGCCATCAAAGGTCGCCAGCAGCATGGGGCCTCACAGCACCCCAACCGTTTCACCCAGCCCTTTGACTTTTTGGTTCCCTTTCAAACCACCCTGAGGGCACCCGCAACATGAGCAAAGGCCTTTGAAACCCGAAGGCAGGCTTCATGGCCAACATGTGTCCCGAGGCTAGAACCCGTGCTTCTAACCGGGCGAGCTACGGCGGGTTTTGTCTTATATAAGCATTAAAAAAAACACATGGCTATTGCCATGATTATGAGTTTGTAAGTTATAACCTCAGTAAGTAGGTCGGACAAGTAGGGACAAGTCGGACAAGTAGGTAACTTACGAAGTCGGTAAGTAGGTACAAGTAGCTCGGACATCCAAGTACCCCCCCCCCCTTTGTGAGGCACGGCCTTCCGGGCGGGCGGGCGCTGGCTTCTCTCGCCTCGGAGGCTCCTGGAAACATTCAAAGTTCAGCTGCACGTGTGACGGATTCGATCGTCAGCAAACCTGAAAAACACTGGTTTTAGATACTGGTCAGGTTAGCCCATACTAAAACTCATTGCTACAATTCTGGTCTTATCATGATTGCTGATTTGAACCCCCCCTCTCCGGTTAAAAGGTCGTCAATGTCTAGAACAAACAATTCTTGGAGCCTCCAAAGGCTAGTTTTTCTGCACAGGGAGGGCCTTGCAAAAAACCCAAGGCCATCAACAAAGAACCGTGAACCATCGAGGTTCGACAGCCCCCAAGATGGTCCTCTTCTGCTTTCCTCGGTGCGGATAGCTCTGCCTCTATTGACTCAAAATAGACCAAGGGAAACCAAAAGGTCAAAAGGACTGCTTTGGACAGCTTTGTAATTAAGTGGCCAGTAACCTACGTAGGTTTTGACCTACACTTACATGTCCCCCGAGTGAAGCTATACAAACCAGTGCAAAGCCTTACGGGCAGCAGCGGACAAAATTCTACATCAGCTGGTAGGTGGTTTATCCCAAATGGAGCTTCATGCATCCCAACAGGTGAGTGACTTTTGTCCATACACAGTATCCCTACTGTCATCTCTGGTTGCTTGCGCTAAACGCTAGATTTTCAACTCTGAAGCTGCAACGTGTTTCAGGAAATTCCATCCACGCCTCTCGTTCTGCCAAGGCTCTCACAACTGCCTTCTTCTTGGAGGGCATGCTGTGCGAACCCCGGGCTCCAGTCACTTGGCAACTTGCGGGCATCTACTTGTCTAAGACGTGGTGCGCTCACGTGACCCCGATTGGATTGCGCGTGGGCCGTGGCTTCTCTTTTGTGCCTTCGCATCGAGCCCAACTGCGGAAAACTCGTCTCAAAACCCTGGGCTGCTCTCAGATCTTCTGCTGAAAGTCTAACTTTTATTGGGTGAGCCAAAATACCTCGAACCATAAAAAGCTAAAAACCCCATAGCTTGACTACCATGATTACCTAGGGGGTTGGCTAGGAACCAGGAACCCAGGCTGTTCGGGTTGTCGAACCTGGCTTTGCATGCATCTTCGGCGAAGAATTCGTGGCACAAGCTAATGTCGACCCCGGATTAATCAGCCTCAGCCTAGTTTCATATGGGGTGTTTTGGTGGGGATGTATCAACTTTGGAGGGGAACACCCCCCATTTATTAATCCGGGCTCAACATTAATTTGTTTGACACAGGCTTGGTGGCTGCAAGAGGTTTAACTTTTTGTGGGTCCAATGGAAAATCCACAGTTTTGCACAAAAGTTATGGGCACCAGTCCAAAGATCCAATTGACACAAGCGCTGGCCCAATCGGCGAGCGTTCTGCTCTTGACCCACCGGCACGACCTACCAGTTGATTCAAGGTCCGTGTTTCTGTCGTTGACTTTTGCTACTGCAAGTGAGATTGAGGCCCCGGACGAGACCTGAGATCGTTTTATCCACGACTGCAACATTACCCTGCGAGGGAAAACCCACCCCTGGCCACCTCATGAAGATGGATTTCCTTTTAAGGGCACCCCTTTTTGCCCGTGCGTTCCATGTTAATTTGCAGGGACTGCGACATCAAGCCTTGCCAAATCTCATGCGGCAGCTGTGGAGCTGGAGCTCCCTCCACGTGTTTGCTTCCGTGCAGGGGCCCGTATAGCCAAAAACAACTTCCCGGTTTCGACATCCCATGGATGGTGCCTATGCATGAAGCATGGTTGGTAACAATGAGTTTGCAGATCCAACCAACAGTACATGCACCTACTGATAAGCACAGCTTGTGGCTGAAAAAGCCTCAGCCCTGGGTGGTCGAAAAATGCCCTCAGCTCCAGTGCCTCTTTTCACCTGCCAGCTGGCCATGTGCTTTGACCATGGCGTGGCGCGATCTGCCTCATTTCTCGGCCATGCCTTGCCGCACCTTGGTGCCCTTCAGCATCTCGGGGGACCAGAAGATCTGGCAATGCTGCGTCAGTCACAAGGCTGAGTCACTTTCCTCTTGATGAGGGGATTGAAAAGGTCGATGCGCTTTGAACAACTGAACTGAAGAAATCGCCTGGATTATCACGCAACAAAGGGCCATTGGTGATGTGTACAGGGGACATGTTAGGAACCCAGTTGCACAGGCGCATGTTCGCAAGGGCGAAATGTTGGTACATGCGGCTGCATTAAGTCACATCAAGGCGCGTGAAGTCACATCGCTGGGATTGAAGCGAGGTGGGGGGATTGCAAAAAGTGGGTGGGGTGGGGGTGGGTGCTTTGTCAAAGCGTTTGGTTACAAGCAAATCTACCGGAAGCCCCAAAACACCCTAGATGAGCTGTTTTCCTGCAGAATGTCCGGTTTCACCCAACCCTTTGACTTTTCTGGAGTGCCCTCAGATCCCCCGCTCAAACTTTAAAACTTTAGCGGGTTAAATTTGGAAACTACCCAACACTAAAATCCCTAAAAGCATCTAAAAGTTGCCTCTGGAACCAAATGGGGCTCGAGGTTCACCAAGTTGTTTGGTTCACCAAACCCTCAAACCACCCGGCAGGAGCCACTCAGTTGCCCCTTCGGGACCCAGAACTAAAAGGTGATCGCCTTTTGGCACCTCTAAAAATGGGAACCCAAAATTGGAAAACCAAAAGGTCAGATCCGGTCGATTCGCTTTGGGCAACTGAGGCCACACCCCGACCAGGGCGGCCCACGATCGATTCTCCCGGTGGCCTCCGGTCCCACGGACCTCGGCCGATTCGATTCGCCCCGATTCGGCCGCCGCATGGGTTGGGGCCCCAGGGAACAAATGAGAAAATACTGTGGATGGTTGCGATATCCATTTCGCACCCCTTTGAAACCATGGGAAACCATTGTTTGTTGGCATTTGCAGGGGAATCACCAATCCGGGGGTTCTTAGGTGGTGCAGGATTTCGTCCATCCACAGTATGTCCAGTGATGAATTCCTTTCAAAACCAACAGGGGAAAATAAAAAGGAAACATATTCCTAAGCAAATGGAGGAATCCGAGTGGATTGGCCAGGGACAAGGGGACCTGGAGCCTCAAACTACGGTTGGCTAGGTACCTGGACCCATAAAAAAGGTACCTGGACCCTGAAAAATGACATGAGTTATTGCCCCAAAATTAGGGTTGGGCGTGTCTCTTTTTAATTCAGGGTTTTGAGGGTGCAGGTGCCCATTCTCGCTTCCTGAGTGGATTGGCCAAACACAGTCCACTCTTTTTGGCTGCCACTAAAATGATATTCCCAAAAAGCATTTTTAGATATATTTGTTTAAAGGAACTCGGGAAGTGTGTATCTTTAGGTAACCCTACTGGGTGGTTTGGATTGGCGGTCTATATTTGGATTCGACTCCATTTCGACCCCTTGTTCTTGTAGAGGGTAATGCACGAGACTCTCCAAACCACCATTCCAAAACCGCCCAATTTAGAGGGAAGCTACTACCTGTTTCGGTTGCTTTCACTAAAGCCACTAGGAAACAGAAACAAAAGAACATGATCCCCGCCGGTTTTGATTGGCAAAGTCAAACAACTCGGCACTACACACACCCGTCAGCTGCTGGGTTTGCCTTTTGACACCCCGAAAAAGTCTAGGGACCCTCTGGTGGAGGGGTCTCTCCACTTTCAGGTGGTTCCTTTGTTGCTTAAACGGGTGTGCAACCCCCAAAATCATGGTCTTCCGTTCGGTTTCACTTTGAAAACCACCAAACAACGGGGCACCCTCAAAAATGTCACGCCCACACAAAGAACGGAAAGGCAGGCCACCCCGACGGAACCCGAGGCCAAGGCATGTTGGCTGGGCTCACCAAATGAGGATCCGCCGGTCCCTGCTTCGCTGAGATACCGAGGCCTGCGGCGCCAGTCTGGCGCAAAAGTGAAGAGCTACGAGCCAACCGCCAGTCTCCAAGGTCGACCCTGGACAAATACACCCTACCAATGGCTAGGTCCTCCAGTATATAGAGAGGTTAGAATAAGGGTACCCTTTTTCTGTAGTCTATTTTTCGTTGGGGGAACCCTCCCCCAAAAAAGGGTGCACCAAGAGGGGACACAGCCCATATTTATGCAACCAGGGTTCAACCCGCAGCTCTTATTCGTCAGCGGAAGAAAATGCAAGGGCCCCAGCAAGTTAGTGAAGTTAAGATAGCTGACTGCTCCCGCCCAATCCAAAAATCCACAGCTGCCGCGCCATCCTGTTAAAAAAAGAAAAAACACATATGGCTGTGTCTTGTTCTGTGAACAATATCATCGTTTTCGAGGTGGCTTTCTCACTTCCTGAGTTGGCTGGTCAACAAACGCCCGAACTTTTGGCCTAACATGGCCTTCCCCAATTGGCCTGCCACGAACATGGCCTTCCCAAAAAGTGACTCAAGTCCATCAACCCAGGGAGTGAGATTTATGGAGGGAAGCCAAAACTGGGCTGACCTCAGATCCCCAGCTAAAAAAGCTTGACTTTTTGTGGGTTAAATACGGAAATCCAACCACTAAACACTAAAAGGCTAAAAAGCTAAGGAACCGGATGGATGGGAACCGGCAAGAAAAGGACGCCCAGCAGTTTGAGAGTTCTCCGGTTGCAAGCCGGTCAACTTCGACAGCTTCATGCGAGATCTGAGTGCACTGCTGCCCACCAAGCGGGAAGACGCCTCCCTGTCTGTCCTTGGTCCGTTGGGCTGCGTCTTTTTTGGGACCTCCAAAATTGCAGATGTGCTCTTGGCTTTCCTGTAAAACGGCAAAAAGGTGCCATGAGGCAATCTAATATCGCCAAAACAGTCAAGTAACCGCCTGATTGTCTGTCTTGAGCATGCAGTGTTGTTCACCGGTTCCTTTTTCGCTAGAACGTGTGTTCATGGGATCCTGGTTGATTTGTTTGCTTCACTGGCACAGGTGTGCAAACGGCAAATGGCATCGACAAGAACCTCTGACCCCAATTTTTAGCATCGACCCTTTTCACATTCCAGTGGGTCCATTCAAGATCCTCAAAATCACCGAGCTCATGGTGCTTTGAAGCTTTGAAAGCCCACAGAAATGTTGAGAACTGCAGGGGACCTCTTTTAGGGACCCAGTTTCAGTCAACGAGACACGTCGGCTTCACTTCGAACAGGGCAGGAGGATTTTTGCCCTAACAATCTACCTCCAGGTTTTTCCCCGGGGGTTTCATGGACCTCCCTGCTACCTCCTCCCATGTGGAGTCTCCTGAAATTCCACTCACGAAGCAACCCGCCTGGCACCCACCTGGGCCCGCGACAAGCCCCGATCCAGCAGCATCTGCTCCTCCGGCGAGAGCTCAGCGCCCTCGGCGGAGTACACCTCCTCAACTCGGCTGCTTTCTGCTCCCCTGCGAAAAGTGAATAACTTTCAGTGGTTTAATGGAAAGCCCATTCGTTGGCAAGAAGTTAAAGTCCCAACATCCAAGCGAAATGCACCAAAGTCAAATGGATGCGTCTTGTGTAAGGGTACCCTTAGATCCCCCGCTAACAGTCGACAACTTGTCGTGAGTTGAATACGGAAACTACCACTAAACCACCGAAAAGCTAAAAAGCTAAGGTAGCGGATGGCGGGGCTTGCCACCAAGTTATGTAAGGGTACCGGGCCTCTGGCCTGACCCGAAGCTCAGCGAGTAACGGCCTTCCAGAAACTCCAGCCAGGAGTCATATTTTCGCAAGGGTGCCTGGCTTGCGGCACCTGGCTCTCTCCATTCACGCGCCATCCTCAACATCGCCCAGCCTTGAGTGGCTGTCATTTTGGTGCCTGTCTTCAGCCACAGGGCGCTTCTCTTTCTGGTCATTTTGTCTCAAAACTCGAGGGCCTGCGTCTCACGAGTTGGACCACGAAGTCCTTACAAGGGAACTCCAAAAACCGACGCCGGCGTTGGAGCTTTCTGGCGGACTTCAAAACTTGAACCAGCATGAAATCTAAGACACCAGACCCTTGAACGAAGGCCTACACGGCATTACCAACATTTTTCCAAAACAGAAAGCAAAAGCAGGGTTTGCACTGCAGAATTCGTCCTTCAAGTTTCTGAGACTGGGCTCTGAATCTTACTAGGGGCCCCCCTCCAAAATGATTGGTGGGCATAATGAATCCTCACCCAAACGATGTCCGCCAAAGGGTCCTATACTAAGAGTCACACCCAATGAAATGAACTCATTTTGGAGGATTCTGGGGCCAGCCCCGATATCCAAAAGCGCCGGGTCCGGGCAAAGGAACAAGGGGGCCTAGCCGACTCAAGAGTTCCCCACAGACCTGTACATCAGGAGGATGGATCACAAATGAGCCATATGGCCATGGGTCAAACAAAATCCCGCACCCCCAGTGAACATCCCAATCCCCACTAAAATAGACTAAAATGGGTGGTATTGGTTTCGACTCTTTCGACCCACTGCCATATAGTCAAAACTACTCGTTTCCCCAAGGAGGCATGTCCTCGGGCTTTTGTGTCAAATTTTGGTGAGTCCTCCATGTCCCTCCCAAAAGGACCATGGAGCTCCGGCAGTTGTGACCAGGGCTCAAAAATTTGCTTCAGGCAAATCTTTGAAACCTAGTGAAGTACATGTCGGATCGATAAAGTCCTCCAGGATGATAAAAGGTCCCCCTTGTAGTTAGTCAAAAAAATGGCCTATGTTGAGAGAATCTGGTTAGGACTCCTCCAAATTCACCGGAAAACAAAAACACGCAGGGTGACCTATATTTCCCCTCTAAAGGTCACCTCGCCGAAAGAACCATACTAAATACCCAACGACGTCTATCGACACCCGATAGATCTTCAACGCGCACAATCAACCAACTGAAGATAACTGAAGTAGGGGTCCTACCTTTGACACACACACACACACACCGACACACACACACACAGACAGACCCGGAAAAAGAACGAAGAAGCTCCACCAATTTCAGCACTCGCCCGACCTTCGGACACCAAAACATTTTTTTTGCGCCTCGTCATCTTCCTCCGGCTTCCGCTCCTCAGGTGGTTCGCTGGACGCAACTTGCAGGGCTCCCGACATGTCCCTTTGGAGCATCGCCCCAAGGCAAAACTCGCTTGGAAGTGGCCCAAAAGCGGACGGTTCGAATCAACACACGGAAAATATGGCTGTGGCTCCCAAAAACCGGAACTCCAAATGGAACCCTGGTAAGTGGAAACATGGACCAACACCAGCGTATCCCCTCCTGTTTAATTTTGAGCCACACCCATATCGGGAACCCTGAGGTGCAACAACCGGAGCTGCAGAATTTTGGAAGTCTTCAAGCTGCAGAACTCCGGATCCGTTTTCCCTGTTCCGGAGGTTTTCTAGAAAGATTCGGATCCCTTGAATGGAATTGGAAGGTACCCCTAGAACAAAAAAACATATCGGGAAGCCTCAAAGCTGTCAGGTTCTACAGAGCTTCCTGACGAAGTTCCGAATGCGCCCTTTTTGGACCCGCGGAGAGGCCCAGAGCTCAGCTGCCAGTGACGGGGGGTGGTTACCCCCGGGAAAGAAAAAAACAACTCCGTGAAAAGGATGCTGTGAAACACAAAGGGTTTTCGAACCAAATGGGACATATGAAAACAAGCCCGGGGTCTTCACGGATGAGCTTGCTTCGAAGTTTTACGGAACCATATGTCCGCTTGAACCGTGACCTGTCACCCTGATGTTCAAAACCACCAAAGAAAAACACACATAACGTGAAAACCCCGGACCTGCTCGGCTTCCCTCTAGTTGGTGCTTTGGATTGGTGACTTGTTAAGGCGGGGGTTCCCCTTCACCATCTACCAAAGGCAAGGGTTCAAATCCAAACCCCCGCCAATCCAGGTCACCAACTAAGGGTTACCTGACCCGCCGATTGACCCCAAAAAACGGCAATTGCCCAAGTTTATCCAATCCCACTACTTATTTCGTTGACCCCAATTCACCTGTTGGCCTATGGGTATCCACACAACCTACCTCAGATGCTGCCCAACCAAAAGCCATTTCATTGATTCTGGCCCAATGCAACTAAATCCTAAATTGAGCAGTGTCTATTACACCGAGATCGCAGCTTGGCTCAACTAATGCAACATGGTCACAAAGGTTTATACAGCCCTCACCATGCCCCCCGTGAAATCAGCTTCTAAATCCACATACGAAATTGGCCAAAGGATTTGAGTGGGGGTGGACAAAACTCCCATGACCCTTACATACTCTAAAACCTTAAGTGGTTGATGCATTCAAATCCAAGCATATGGAAATGAGCATGTTTGTTTGTCCATGGCAGCAGGCATGCGCTTTGTTGCACTTGCTCCGGGTCTTCACGCACAACGCCGGAAAATTCTTGCCTACACTATGCACACTGGTTGGTGCAAAAACGAGCCGCATCCCGAGATGGGCAGCAGGTCTAAAGACCCTAAGCTAAAACATATTGTCTCAAAGAACCTCAACGGTCAATGCCGTGCTGGTTAACGAAACCCCATCGACCGACCAGCACCATGGCCATTGACTATTGAGGCCATCATTGTCCGGTACAGATTTGTGCTGCTTCAAACATCTTGGCAGCATGAGCCTTGCGGACAACTTCTTTGTATGTTTGTCCATGACAGCAGGCGTGCACTTTCTGGCACTTGCTCCGGGTCTTCATGCAGAACGCCGGAAATCGGCCAACGCTGCAGCAAATTCTTGCCTACACTATGCACACTGGTTGGTGCAAAAACGAGCCGCATCCCGAGATGGGCAGCAGGTCTAAATACCCTAAGCTAAAACATATTGTCTCAAAGAACCTCAACGGTCAATGCCGTGCTGGCTAACGAAACCCCATCGACCGACCAGCACCATGGCCATTGACTATTGAGGCCATCATTGTCCGGTACAGATTTGTGCTGCTTCAAACATCTTGGCAGGACAACTTCTTTGTATGTTTGTCCATGACAGCAGGCGTGCACTTTCTGGCACTTGCTCCGGGTCTTCATGCAGAACGCCGGAAATCGGCCAACGCTGCAGCAAATTCTTGCCTACACTATGCACACTGGTTGGTGCAAAAACGAGCCGCATCCCGAGATGGGCAGCAGGTCTAAAGACCCTAAGCTAAAACATATTGTCTCAAAGAACCTCAACGGTCAATGCCGTGCTGGTTAACGAAACCCCATCGACCGACCAGCACCATAGCCACTGACTATTGAGGCCATCATTGTCCGGTACGGATTTGTGCTGCTTCAAACGTCTTGGCAGCATGCGCCTTGCGGACAACTTCTTTGTACATCATCTTCCTGCCGGCTGTGCGCGTCTTGCCAGGCCCCGGGTTCAGGAACTTGCCAGTCGCCAGCCGCCAGCCGCCAGTCGCCAGTCTCCTCGGAACCTCAGCGACCTGAAGGAGCTGCGGATTGGACATCTTCAGGTTCGTCGCGGTACCATTCACGATCCTCGTGGCCTTTGTAGTCTTCGTCGTAGCCTTGAGAAACTTCGGACACCTCATGGGAAACTCCAGTGTCAGAACAAAGAGACGCTGCCGCAAAGAGGAAGAAGCAGATGTCTCCTGCGGAGACCGATGGGTGCAACGGCATTTGGCGGAAGGAAGGCTGCGACCACGCAAGCAAGGTTAAGGACTGACGGCTTGAGCCAACATGGCGGTCTCCTGACTGAGCGGCCGTCGAATCCAACTGAGGGCTCGGTGATTCCATTTCTCCACCAGGCCATAGTGTTTTTCTTGTTGTTGATAGATTTCCCGTGCTGAAACGACCGAATTGCACCCTTGGAACACCCCGCTCCCAAAGGCTCCCGATGATTTAGGGCCCTCCAACAACCTGGCTTTGAAACCCCCGAACACCACCGGGGTGTTCCAATGGAGAGGGTCTTCCATTGAAAGCCGAAGCAACAAACGAGTTTGACTCTTAGAGGGTGAAATACGGAAATCCAACCACTAAACCAACTAAAATGCCAAAAACAAAGTAAGGAACCGGATGGCTGGGCAAGCGCCACCAAGTGGGCGTTTCGTATTCCATGACAACTTCGTCCCCGGCCTCATCCGAGGAATCCTCCACCAAGTCCGCCGGCTTGGACGACTCCGCTTTCGGCGCTTTTCGGCTGCCGCCTGGAAAAAAACATCGTCGGGGGATCGAGGGGTTACGCAAACAGCGGGCAGAAGTATGGGGCCGAAAAGATTTCCCTGGAGTCTCCATGACCCTTTACAAATAGAGTCATTGCCCAAAATAAAGGGGTCATGGACCATTTCTTACAGGGTCCTTAGGGAGACTCCAGGCCTTAAGGGAACTCAAAAATGGGCGGGTTTTCTCTCTCTTGGAGGCTTAAGGGCAACTGGCTCCCTCCAATGGGCATATACTAATTTCCTGGACCCAAATGCGATGGCTTCTCTTCAAAACCACCATTTAACCACCGCAAAAAGGGGTACCCCGGAAGGAAAAAGAAACGGGTACCCAACTCAGAAGAGACCGCGGGCTGACCACCCGCATCCACCTTGGGCAGCGGCAGTAGCCCCGCAGACCGGCGAACAAGGCCTTCTCGCGCTTGCGCTGATCCGCCTACGCAGTTCGGTTCCGCGGATGGGCCGAAAACTTGAGGGTTCGGCCAATTTGGCTACACCAACAGTTTTTCTTAATGACCAGGTTAGAAAGCTTTGTAAGCATTAGAGGGAACAACTATCATTTGCCAATGGTTTTGGGCCGTATTTTCTTAAAGGCATTATAGAAAGACTAGAGCAAGAGGTAGAGGGAAGCCGCCATCCCCCACACAAACTGAGCGTGCCCAACCCACGCCTGGGAAATAGGTGTGTGTGTGTGTTTGCAGTGGGTAGTCGATTTGCGGTGGTTTAAAGGGGAACAAAAGGACAATCCATATTTGGAGGGATTGGAATGGACCCCCAATACTGGGATTGGACCCCTCAAATTCGGGTGGCTGTGGGTGGATCCCATTTTGCAGGGGTCCAATCCCTATTTTGACTCCTACGCAAATGGGACAATGTGCCTGTGCAGCCGTCCCATCAAAACTTCCCGTGGCTCTCTCAGTTTAAACGCAACCACTGTTCAGGTTAAAGATCAGCCATTTGCCAGGTGACCCTGGTAGAAGAAGAATTTGACGCCTTGCTGGGGTTAATTCCACCACAAGGTGAGGGGGGTCCCACCAGAAAGAGGAGGTATTAAAAGGGTGGAATCCAAAGGGAAACCCCCTGAAACAAAGGGATGACACGCACGCACCACTGGAGGCAGGGGTAGAACCTCCAAGTAGATCCCCCACGCGACCCTCTCCCCTCGAGCCTCAAGCGCTTTCAGCTGTGACCTGAGCCGAATGCGTCAAAACTTCGCTGTTGGAGCTGGGAACAAGGGAAGGGCATGGGTCAAAAAGGGGTCTCCTGTTGGTATCCCTGTGGAGCGAGGTGAAAGGAAACATGAGTGCCGCTACTACGGGAAAAAATAACGCGTTTTCCAAGAGGCCAACAGGTTCAAGGTTCCACCAAAGCGCTACCGCATGCTGCGGAAACCCCATTGCTATTGGGGGCAACTCATATTCGTATCCCCTTTGCACCCTGAAACTGCCAAATCAAATTACAGGTGTGGGGTCGGCACCATAATGTTTGAGATAAATCAGCTTCGAATTGTTTGCCTTCGGATTCGAATCAAAATGAGACAAATCCAAACGGCTGGGTGTTTCGATCAATACCCTTTTGGGGTTACTGGGTTGTTCCAATGTGATTCCAGATCCGGACACGGATTGGAAGGGAGGCCGCTCAATTCAGCAATTCCGCATTCAAATTGAACAACCGGTATCATTCTTCGAATGGCTTGCCTGGATGAAAAAACACCAGCTGGGTGTGGTTGATACCCTTTGTGATTCAAGGGGGTCACCAAGGAAACCACTCCACTCCCCCCCCGCCCCCCGGGAATGAATTCTCCCTTTGTGGACTCGGCCCGGTGGACCTGCTGTCTCAACGGGCTTTCGGGCAGCTTCTTGCGCACCGCGGCGTCCTCGGGATGGACCTGCCGAGCCGAGCCGAGCCGCATCGATGGATCGCGAGCTCAGCGCGCCGGCCGATGCGCGGGCCGAACGA